CGGGCCCAGCCGCTCCACGGCATGTGGGACCTTCCCGGACCGGGGCACGAACCCGCGTCCCCTGCATCGGCAGGCGGACTCTCAACCACTGCGCCACCAGGGAAGCCCTGCCTCATGTTTTTTGTTTTTTCTTTTTGTGGTACGCGGGCCTCTCACTGCTGTGGCCTCTCCCGTTGCGGAGCACAGGCTCTGGATGCGCAGGCCCAGTGGCCATGGCTCACGGGCCCAGCCGCTCTGCGGCATGTGGGATCTTCCCGGACTGGGGCCCGAACCCGCGTCCCCTGCATTGGCAGGCGGACTCTCAACCACTGCGCCACCAGGGAAGCCCGCCTTATTGTTTTTTAATGGCTTCAAAGTATTTTATAATGCTGTTCTCACCAATAATCATACCTGATGACTCTAACGGTAAAACTGATTACGTCATTTGGTTAGATGAATGGTGTGCTGGTAGACATGCTGTTTTCCCAGCAGGAGCACGATTTGCATGGTTAGTACCCCTAAATCCTTCAGCCTCAGAGAAGATTTTGTAACTTCCCCTTGGTGGCTAGTCGCAGGTAGAACAAACGGCTCGTCTTGCTTCTCTCTCATCTGAACCTCTTCTGTAAGCATTGTAAGATGTTTACATCTTGTAAACATTGTAAGAATGTTTATAAAATATGATTTGGCAAAGTTTCCTGGATAATGCATTGGACAAAATGGTTAGTCCTGGTTCTACCTGATGGCATGGTGTTAGAAAAGTCATAGTGTCCCAGTATCGTACTTTTTCTTTTCACATAGTGGTGTCCAGAGCTGCTCTTAACCCTCTCACAGGACTGTCGCAAGGCTCATGGAGACCACACAGATGAGAGCCATTTGGGTATCTAGAGAAAGTTGCTACAGGAATCCAGGCGATTATTTTCATAATTAGGAATGCCACGGGAGCCCATCTGAGCCTACGTTCTCTGTACGGGTCCACACGTGAGCACCGCAGCAACCCTATCAGGTAGGTATTACTATCTCCACTTTAGGTGGGAAAACTGAGCTCAGAGAAATTTTAAAAACTTGCCTAAAAGCTTTCTAGATCTTCCAATTTTTAAGAGACGCTGAAAATAATAACTAACTTTGAGGAATCTTCCACCAATTAAAAAATGTTGGTTCAGAAAAAAAAACAGGCTAAATGAGGCAGGTCTATGAACTGTGTCCAGTCCGAGCTCATCATTGTGGGGTCCTGTGGTAGGGACTCCAGGATCCCTTAGGAAGCTACTGTATTCGGAGAGAGGTGGTGAAGGCCACCTGGGGCAGGGGCAGCGGGCTGGCAGGGCCAAGACAGATGGAGTAGAGCCTATGTGCAGGGGGGCGGGGGGAAGGAGAAACAACAAGATCTGACGACACTTGGATGTGGGGGATAAGAGAGAAAGAGAGGTGCCAGAAGACAGGATTTTCAAGCTTGAGTGGTTTGTAAGATGGAGTGATTTATAGGCAAAATGGAATGAGAATGGCTCTGAAACCAGGAAGAGCTGGGTTCACACCCCTTCTCCACCAATTGGGGTAAAATTTGGGTTTTCTCATCATTCAGTATAGGTACCTTAGAGGTAGGTGCCAAGCAACATAACCGCATGTGAAGTGTTTATGGTGCTCACAGTATTAGTCGTAACGAACATTTGCCTTCATTTTCTCTACTTCCACTTCTATTCCAGTCTGTGTGGTCCTGGTGGAGCTGACTCCACCCCCAAGAGGGTGTAACAGGAAGCTCAGGTCTGGCCAGTGGGTGAACTGCATTTTCCTGACAATGGTAATAGGTTCAGGGTGGTCATATGACCAAATCCAGACCAGTTAGAGCCAGTGAGAACCAGTCCGGGCACTTCCATTGGAATTGGACTAGAGGTGAGGGGGGTGTGGTTCCCGGACGGCTTGGCCACCTTGCCAGCCCAGGGGAGAACAGGTCTAAGACGGAGCCAACCAGAGTTAGCAGACCTGAGAGATGAGGAGAGAGAAATTGGGGCCTGGGGAAATAATTAATGTCTCTACATCATGCCTCAGCTCCATGCCGGAGTTTTCAGCTCACACCTGAGCCAGTACCTTCCCTTTTGTCTTAAATGAATACATCTGAACAGACAAATAAACAGTGTCCGTGGACAGAGGACAGGAAACTGCTAGGGAGACCGCTTGATGTTTGGTGTCCCAGTGTTTTGGGACCCACCACCCTCCTTAATCCCCTGGAGATTTTGTGGGGATGGGGGGAGGGAAATTGATAACCGCTGAGAATTCTCCATTCCTGCCAACAGCCCAGTAACAGCGTCGCAAGAGGCTTCCTGATTAGTGAAAACTGAGACATACAGTCAAGTGTGAGTCAGAGGTGACAGAAGGGAGGTGAAGAGACTGCA